ACAGACAAAGACACACACACACACAGACAGAGAGACACAGACGCAGACACAGACACAGACAGACACACAAACGCACACGCACACACACACACACAAACACACACACACAAACACAAACACAAACACAAACACAAACACAAACACAAACACACACACACAAAAACAAAAACACACACACACACATACACAAACAAACAGACACAAACACACTCAAACACTCACAAACACAGACAAAGACACACACACACACATATATATATATATTTATTTATTTATTTATATTTATATATACACACACACGCACAAACACACACACACACACACACGCACACACACACAAACACACACACACACACAAACACACACACACACACACACACTAACACACTAAGTAACTAACTACACACACACCTCAAGCACCAGATTTTGCACGCAGCTGCATTCGAGATTGTGCGTGGCGCCTACGCTCAGACGGCCGCCCGAGCCCCAGAGTAAAGTCATCGGTGGAAGACTGGTATACGATGATCTGAGGAGATCGTGAACTCGCTCAAGTACAAACTAATTCCACGTTGGCATTTCATGACTGTCAGGATCCCGATTTCTGTGTCGGGACTGCATATCCCAGCTCAGACCTCGAATGCAGCTTCCGGAGCTCACCCAAAGCACACCTGGAGTGCCAAGCTTATTTTGCAGCAAAGTTGAGACAGGTTGGCGGAGCAGGTGCCAGGGCCTTGGCAGAACTTGCATCCAGACAATCTTATCCCCACACGGAGATGCTCTAGGCAGAGATTGATTGAACCACGGGAAAACCAGTACATGCTAATCCTGGGATGATGTTGATGAAGCCCCAGCTCGCTGGTTCGAGGTTTATGCAGAAGCGGGATGAAACAGGAAGGAGAGCGGAATTACACTCAAACACGCGCACACACACACACAAAGAGCCGGTAAGAAGAAAAAGAAGAGGCGGTGGATAAGAAGTGGGAGCATCATAACATGAGCGACCGGCTTCTTGCAGGCTAGAACGGTCGAGACTGCTAAGCATTGACTTTCAGATATCGTTTGCCGATGGTCGAAATTTCTGACCAAGCATGGGACGATAGGCTCTGCTTGAAAGATATGATTCGGGGAATCAGTCTGACATGGCTGCCATTAGCCTTCTGAGAAAACAACATGTCCGTGGCTCGAAACAAATCTGTGTGGGCGGACAGAAAGAGGGATGCTTGCTAGTAAGAGGAAGAGAGAGCAAGGGGAAAAAAGACGTCAGCTGCATGGGCCAGTGACAGCTTTGTCAGAGCAGGCAGCAAACACGAATAATGCCGAACGTAGATGACCTGTTGACCAGGTACTTCAAATCTGCGTAAATAGATGGTTCGGACCCGAAGCTATGGTCTCGCGCGTCGCCAGTTTGCGAGCTGTTGCTGGTGCTCGGCGTTGCTTCGGGGCAGCTGCCCGGCTCTGCGAGCACCTTGGCCTTGATTTCCTTTTGAGTTCTTGCCGGTCTAGGACTAGGACTTTCATTCCGCAAGCTGGAGGATTGCCCCCTCTGTGTGGCGTGTGGGAGAAGGCCGACCTCGGGTGGCGGTGCTGGGCGGCGTGCATGGGAATGAGTTGCTTGGCAGAGACAGAGAAAGGATCGGGTGACTGACTGCGGTCAAAGCGTGGGCACACCTTCGCAGTGCTGCGTGTGGGGAGGGTGTGGGAGTCTAAACCTGCCGCTAAAATTGGAACGATACAGAGAAGATTAGCACGGCCCCTGCGTCAGGATGACACGGTCAAATCGAGAAGTGTATCAAAAACATATCAAAACCGTAAACCCAGTTCTCGACAGGCTAAGCGGTGTGGAGGTGGTGAAGCGCCTGGTCTCAGAAATGTGCGACACAACGGACCTCCGGGGCTCAGAGTGAAAGAGGGGCAGGTCTTGTTTCCCTGAGCAGCAAGGAGGTTGGCCAATTTGTGCTTCGGAGCTGAGTGCTTTTGGTATAGATCGCTCCTTACATAGCTTGAGGAGCTGTGGCATTGGCATTGGTTTCCTGGTGGCTCCTAGAGCAGAAGATGCCTCGTTTTTTGCAGGAGCACGTCGAAGGGGAGATCACGCTCGCCATCGGCAATCCTCCGGCGGTGAGCCGGGGGGTTCGGCTTCCCGGCTTCGTGCTCTACACCTCAAAGTCTGCTCTGCGACCCTGCAAATTCAAGACCCTAATGTTACTTTCTGTCTTGTCTGATGAAATGACACGGCTTTTTTCTTAATTTTGTACTATGGTACTGTATCGATCGTAAGACGATAGACTACTGGAAGTGTCTGACTGAAGCACTGGAGTGCAGGTTTGTCCACCAGGATCTCAACCGCTGCTTCCAGGAGGTGCCAGCAGCATGTTTCGCTCGTTTAAGGTTGCGACCAGGATCCAGGATTCATGGGAGCATGGCGGCTCCATGGTTAAACAGTCGTAAAACCATCTTGTATATAGCTGCTTTGTGATTGTGGTTATGTGTTGGGCTGCTTTTTCCTGCAAAGTCCCAGCACCTTGCCTGCCAGCCAAGCGACAGCGGTGGTTGACCGGTTGACCTATGCCTACCGACGATGTCAACCGGCCGCAATCATGCAAAGTCCTTGTTGGGCACCTGATACGCAAGAGTCATTTCCATGTTGGAACGGTCGCGAGACTCGCGTCGCTGTGAAGGGCAGCGACACCTGTGCCTGCCTCCCAAACCACAGCACCCTCCTCACAACCGGAAGCCTGCATCAAATGAAGTAAGAGGGCAAAGAGCCGCACCAACCATACCGGCCGCTCAATATACCCAACTCTACAAGCTGCCTTTGGATTTGATGCTGGAGGATGCGATGAAACCCGCTGGAAGCTGCAGGAGCTCCCAAAGCCCCAAGCGTCTGCCAAAAGCAAATTCGTCGCAGGTTGTTGGAGATCCAGCCATGCCACTGGGCATGGAACATGAGCAGTCCCGTGCCCAGGCAAAGTGCGACTAGTGTTGTGTTTGCATTCAACATTAGTCCGTGGCCGGCCTAGCACTGTTTGCCAGGCATCCGCGGCAATCAGACTTGTTGAAAGATGTGGTATCGCAGCTGCGGAGTCTGACACTAGCCACGCCGCCATGTTCAAGAGGCAATCTGTTTCACCTGCCGTGGATGTTGCGAACACTCTCCTCCCCCTCTGTGTACACCTGACGTATCGAAGGGGGCAATGTGTTCTGACTGATGCAGGTGCTGATGCCTTGGCTGAGCAGCCTGGCTACATGATCAGAGAAGCCTTGGTGGGATGTTTCATTAGTACTTCCGCTGTCTACCGTGGGCATCCGGCCGATAAGAGTTCTTACTACTGTAAAGATGGCAAGGGTCAGAAACTGTGGAGCCGCTCGAAATTCCAGTCGTCGATGACCAAGGGGGCTTGGACGTGTTGCTTGACTTGCATGCGACCAACAAGCCGTCCAAGCCTTTTGCGCGGCTTCCAGGCCATGGGAGGTTGCAATTAATATAGGGGCCTCAATAAGTACTTATATTACTTTAGGGGTTCATTTTTTAAAATTATTTGGGGGGTCACACAGGCATCTTTATTCTGTTCAAATCAGCACATCAACTGCTGCAACAGATCTGCTTACTTCCGACGAATTGCCTTTGCGTAGACGCTGTCCCCAGGAATCCCAAGCACATTCTTCAATGTGGCACGCAGGGCCGGTGGCTGGGCGCAAAGAGCGCTTCGCATCCGCCGAAAGGCCTAGATCTGATTCTGCACACTCGGAACCTTTGCTGTTCGTCACACACCGAACCGTTTTGCAAATAGATAGGTTTTCTGCGGTTGACCCGAAGTTTGCCCTAGCTGCGTCATCATCGTCGTCATACATGGGATTGGAGCGGTAGCCCAGCTGTCAATGCGTTTAAAGCCGCAAACAAAGATTGCATGCGTGACTGGTCACACGAGTCTTGTTTGATGGTTGAGTGAGTCTTGCCCACGCAGCATGTGACATGAAGAATTCATTGCGACTCCTGCGTTTGTTGCGGTCAGTGCATTCCAATTGTGCCCGAGGGTTTTCCTGCGGGCATTGCCGGCCTCCTGCCGTACGATCTTGTGGGCATCTTGACGGGGATGATGTTGCTGATATCATGGGACATATGGGACAAGTATCAGTCTCAGTTCGAAACTTTATCCGGGGCGGAGAGACGCTGAGACCTAGTTTGACTGTACTAGCTGGACCCCGATTGCGATTGCCTGTGATTTACGGAGGGACGGAGTTTTCAGACACTAACTTTGTAAAAGTGCACACAGCATGCCAGAAGAAAGACGGCAATGCACGGTCAGTGCACGTAGTTCAGCAATCGGAGACTAATGATACTGATTCGATGCTGCAGTTCAGAGCAACAGAACAGCAAGCAGCCGTCACACTGAGGATCCAGATACCTTGATCGCAGGTGGTGCCATGTCAGATGAACACGCTTTGCAACACGCACCTTTTGAAGCGTGCCAAAGGAGCGCTTTTTTTGTTGTGTGCGCGTCTGTGGAGCAGAGCATCATCATACCATGGCCTGGTAATGTCTGGCGGAATGGGTTCTCCCTGGTTCGGTGGTGTTGTCAGAACGTGTCGGGAGGAGTGGCGAGCAAATTCATCCAGCGTACATTTGCTACGAGTCTGGTCTCGCCTCTGACAAGAGTTCTGCCGGAGCCATCTACAGCGCCGTGCGCGCATGCTTCGCAGAGAACCACTGCTGCACTTAGCAGCCCATGTGATGCAAATGCCACATTTTCCGATGCTGTGCAACCTTCAATCCTTCCGTCACCTGAACAGCTTCGACTGACCGGAGGCTTGGCGTCTTGAGATACCCCGACACGGATTCCGCAGTGGAAGAGACTGTCGGACGAAGCTCGGTTGCACATGCATATGAACCCGGCGACCTACATGCAGACGTCTTTCGTTTCTCTCATTTGTAGAAGCGTGTCGTCCGGCTCAATATAGTAGGTCTTTTTGTCTCATCCACAAAACTTGACCCTAGGCTTACAGTACAGTTCATTCCGCGTCAATGTCGCAAACCTGTCATCCTCATCATCGTCGTTGTCCGCGCCATCGCCGACACCACCGTCATCATTACTTGCATCGTCGTCACCGCCATCTTTTTCTCCACGAACCTGCACCGGCGACCGCCAGCAGCGCCACCGCCAGGACCATAACGATTGCACACCCTCCACGACCTCTGCCGCTGCCACCACCTTTGCTTGTCGCCACTCACCATCTACCCTCTTCCTCATCACGATCATGATCGATTGCTTTTGCATGCTGTTGCTTCCGATGCCTATGCTGCTCGCACAGGGCTGCCCTCATTCTTGCTGCAACTCAGATTGCTGCCGCTGCTGCTGCTGCTGCTGCTGCTGCTTGGTTCTCATGGTGGGGGCCTTCACTCTCACGATGAGGATATGCTCCATCATCACTGCATCATCAAAAGAAAGACTCAAGAATGGAGGTTGTGGCCTTGCAATGGCGACATTGAGGCAATCTATCATGATGATAGTTGTGAGGTCCGCGATGATGACGGCGATAGTCATGTTGCTTCTGATACTCACCACGGAGGAGGAAATGCTGCTATTAGTGAAGAAGACGATGATGGTGATGATGGTATGCTGATTCAGCAGGATGATTCTTCTTGGCAGCTTGACTTTCTCTATGTGCATCGGAGTCCATGTCCAGCTCTCATTGTGGATTTTTTCTTTTTAATCGGCAGCAGCGGTATGCAACCTTCAGATCTGACCTCGAGTTGTTAAATGCCGGTCAGGTGACTGGGAGCATTTTGAGATTACCGACGTCTTCAAGCTCGATAGCAGAGGCTACGAGTGGATCAACGGTTGCACGTTCTGCAAAGAGTGGACCTGATGCCTCTTGAATCCGGTACTTATCCACGACGAGTGTGTCTAGACTCCTTCCCTCCCTATGTATATAAAGATTGTTTCTCATATATCCATATGCGTACTTGTATCTATATTCATGTTTAAAGCTTGTTACGTTGGTTTTGGTGCTCTTCCCTTTATTCGGTCTTGAAAGGGACGTCAAGGCTTTCGTATTCCGCACAGTTCAGATGAGTAGTGGATGCCTGGCGACGTTTGTTTTGTATGCTAGCAGACTTGAGTTGGTTTTAGTTCTACACTCGGAAGCTTGTGCACGTCACGGTGTTTTCAGGCAGGTAATTGGCGGTCTATGGTTGCTAATCCAGGCAGTTCCTGGCAGCTCAGATGTATTCTAAAGGGGGACCTCACCTGCATTCGCAGGCCATGGTCATTACTCCGCAGCTGGAAAGTTCAAGTGCTTCCCATTTGTTGTATTACTTTGCTGAGGAAGCCGCGCAATAGCTTCAAGATAAGGTTTAGCATAAACAGCGGATCTTCAAGGCAAGCAGCATGGAGTGCTCTGAAGACTCTTCCAGTCCACAGAATTTGCCATCTCTGCATTTTCCTGAATAGAGCTAGACCAAACAAGTTGAATTCCTGTGTCACGCTGTTCCATGTTCCAAGTCTGCCCCAATTCTCGGGAACTGGACCCCTGAGCAGGTTGTAGCCGGTCTGTGAACGCTTATCAATAAGTCGTTTCAAGAGCTGGTCAACCACTTCAAAGTGCCACACACGAAATAGCTATTGGTCTATTATGGGAAAAGATGTCGGTTGTTCATGTTCTTAGATTCTTAGAGATTCGAGGCGAGTGAATAAAATGGGGGCAGAGGAATCACGGGAAGCTTCTCTAGAACGCGCGACGAGCTGCAAGATGACCAGAGGTGGTTACATGTGGGTCTGTATAGGCTATACCCTTTCCAGAAAGCACAGATTCTCCAAAGTCGGTCGCATGCACCACCACTCTAGAACATCTAGTAATCCAGTAGTCTTGCCTCATGTTTGATGAAGTAAATGCTTGTCGCATGTTGGTGTTACTGTGGCCAAGGTTGCGTAAGTTGCTTAACATGTATGCCGCCTGGTATATGAGCATTTTGTCATTGCTCGTATGCGAGACAAGTAGCTAAAGCCCAGTTCTATATTGCAGGTGCACGACATTCTCCAAGTTTCCCGAAGCAGTTTAAACACTTGCCAAGCTGCCAAGCACAGCCCAACCCTCAAAGCCCGAAGAGTAGCTTGTTTGGCTTAGCATGGCTTAGCCCTCTGTACTTGTTGAGGCTTTGGCTCTCAGAACTTCCAGGCCAAATGCTCCGGAAAAGTGTTTCTTTGGATCTTCTTGGTTTTGCGCAGGAGTAGCACGACGGCTTGGTTTATGTAGATGTAGTCATCGCAGCTTCGTGGAAACATGCTGTCGAAAGAACTTCTGACTGCGAACTTTAGTGGGTTGATGGGCACAGTCACATCCTATCTTTTCTGCCATTTCAAGAGTGCGGGAGTAGGATGAAATTTCATGTCGACTTCCGCTGAGCGAGTTGGGAATTGATGGCTGGCTTGACGAGCATGTTGCTCGACTCAGCACAGGTGCTGTCTACAAAGGGCCCGCGGAAAATACAGAAGAGTGAGCCTGAAGGTCTTGCCTCCAGGGGCTGCGTTTGGCAGGCGGCTTGAACCGCTCGAGGAGCTGATTGCACCGATGCCCAGTTGCACTTGGGAGGGTTTGCTTCGGGGCTCCAGCCGGGTTAGTGGGGCCTTGTATAGTCGGTCAACCAGAAAACAAGCATCCGGCCGGTGCCATATTTGCAGTACCCCCGGGGGGCGATTGCCGATAATGCATCAGCCTTCATCGTTGAGGTGCTGAGGGTCAGCCGGGCACCAAAGGATATCTAGTCGTTTGTAGTCGATTTCAGAATTCCAGGAGCCTTCGCAAAAACTGAAGAAGAGCCCCCGTCCCATGCCCCGTTACCGAGGACTGGCCGAGACTCGTACCTCATCTTTCCGAAAGGCACAGAGCAGAAATGGTTTGGCGGTCTGGTCTCCAAAACCCAACAAAAAATCCTCCGCCTTGGAGCCCCTGCGCGCGACATTCCGATATGTGTCGAAAAAAGGTTGGAATATAAGGCAGTATCGGTGGCTCGCTGTGTCGAGCCACGCAACTCTCTTAAGGCAGTTTGCAACGGATGCTGCCTCCCCGTCCGTCTGTCTTGCGTGTCACAAGACTCAGAGTTGCTGGTCTATGGGTTGCCTGTCCTGGTGTCGATGGATGGGAGCCGGACTACAGCCTCGGCAGTGCTGCGACATAGCCGTTGGCAAAAGCATCACGTGAATCGTCGCCTTTGCCCCAGCATCGTCCCTTCCAGTGCACGCATGAAGCTGTAACGAATCCCAAGCAAAGTCCAAAAGCCGCCTTGGAGGCAAAGCCTTTTGGATCCCGGGTTGGCCTCTTGGCTGGCTCGCCCGGAAGCTTGTGCCTGAAGAGCTCTGAGCTCTCCATGCTGAGCTGTTTCGCGTCGGCGTCACATAGCGACACCTCGATGAGTCTGATCTCACAGTGAGAGTACCAGAGCTCAGAGACTCCGGCAAAGATAAAGAATCTGCTGATGTTTGGGCCGCTTCTCAAGCAGAGTGCTGCGCTTGCAGTGTCGCACTTGTTCGTCATGGGCCAAAACGCGCGGCGGAAAAGGAGAAGACAATTCCTGATGCACTGCATCTTGATCGGAGTACGTAAGACTGAAGAACGGTGTCGATGGAAGGGCATTAAGTGGCCGTGGCATCTTCTTTGTGACCGGTGCCATTCAAGCATCTTATAGACGCTTGGACTTGCTACCCAGCATGGCCCAGCATAAATCCAGAAATGCAGCCAAGGCCTCAGAAGCCCCCTTTCTCGGAAGACCCAAGGTCCTTCCTCTTGACGTCGGTGACATCCAGAAGCGTCGCAAGCTGCTCGGTGCCGTCCCAAGTTGCGCGAGATCGGTCTGGAAAGGGAGCGCGGCTTTCCTCACAGTTTGCTGCTTGATGCCGGCGTAAGAGGAACCTTTTCATTAAGATGTGTTGGCCTATGCAACACTTTAATTAGCACGTGGCACAGGCTACGAGGAGGGCGATGTGAACGAGTCTGCGGATTTAGGCGCTTGGTGTGATGTGCAGAACGCGTATTCCAGGCGTTTGAAGGCTTCGGCTTGAGGCTGTCCTGTGGTGCTCTCTCTCTCTCTCTCTCTCTCTATCTCTCTCTCTATACATGTATGTTCATGTGAGTTGTTTGCCCGTTGTATTTTTCTCTATTAAAAACATAGTGTGACATATAGACATATAAGTACCCCCACCCCCGAAATCCACAGCTTGGCATCTGCAGGCACGTCGAGTTCTAGAGTCTTCGGCAATAGGTTTTGCTTCTGTTTGTTTCAGGCTGCCCCTCTAACAAAGCGCCATGCTCCTTTACTTCTCTTTTCTGTTTCCCCTTCTCTGATCCAAAAGAAGCTTAAGATCCGACAATCTAGCATGAAATTAAGAAGGCAGGAAAAAGACACCCCCTCTACTCCTAAGACATGTGAGAGCAGTTCTACATATCTCGATGCACCGCAAAACGCGAGAGCTCCTTCACATCTTGATACTTTCGATAATGGCTGCTCTTCACCTCTGTAACCACAATGAGAACGGCTGTTTTTATGTTAAGAAGAAGTAATTAAATTCAGATAATTGTCGAGCTTCGTGCAAGTTATGGCAGAGAACATTACCAGGCTCCCTTCCCTCCTGTCGGCAGCAAGAAATGAACGATAATCTGCTCTGTTTCAGTTAAAAGAGTTCGAGCACCTTCCAGCTACAAGTGTCATTGACACAGCTCTTGTATCAATATGAAATACAGAAGCGTGCCTTTTCAGCAAATATCAGCTCCTGTGTCGGTCAGTAGTGAGAAGGAAGACATAGTGACAAAGCCTTTTTCAATAATGAGAACTCCTCAATATTGTTGTCAGGCGTAATTACATGATGTTTTTGAACACAAAACATGGAACCGCACTTTCTGTCCTTGCTTAGACTGAGCGCGGCCCCATGTTTTCAGTAAGAATCGCGAGAGTTCCTTATCGTTCACGGCGAAACACAGATCCTGGAACTTGATGAGCTCCTCCAAATTGTAATAGGACAGAAAAAGCTGTTGCGTTTTTTAACGGAGACGTTCTGTCTGAAATCTGGGGGGCAAATACTGGAGAGTCTTTCCGTAGGATGTAAGGTAAATCAAGATGTAACCCTGGTTCTGGTAATTTTCACGAGGAGTGATATCATGCGACTCCAGACATCCAGACGCCTTCTGGTTGATGTTATGCAACCTCAGAGTGATGTACATGAGAGTGCCACTTATCAGACTAGCGTGTTGAGGTGCTTGACTCGGGTATTTAAAAACTGCTTGCACAGTGAGTGCTTGTGCAGACTTTCACTTGATACTGCTAGGTACTGCTATTGACGTTGATGCTTCGTAAGAAAGCCTGCTTGGTGCGCTGCTGAAATTTGCTGCAGCTCATACAGCCATTTGGCTCAGCTGTTGACGTCCTGATAGGCTTGACCTGACAACGACCATGAAGGAGCTGCGCGTCTCTGAGGTTGAGCGGCGCTTGAGAACTGCTGGTGCCGGCGTTTCTAATTTGCAACATTGAAGGAGAGACGTATGATGAATTAAGTCGAGGAGCTAAGCATCTGGTGCTGGTGACGGAGAGCTCCGCATTTCTCTCGTGTGGGGCAGCACCGATGACTTGGACTTGCACGTGATGACGCCACGAGGACAGGTACAGTGTGTAAACTTTGTTCAGGTCTATCATCACCTATCTTAAGCAAGAAAACTTGCTACAAAGCATTGCCTTGCACTTGGACTCGCCTTCTCTTTAAAAAAGAACAGGGCTCAGTCATCGCAGAGCTCATCCGTCTACACCTCTCACTTCAACCTGCGCTGCCAGAGCACTGCGCAGGCAACTGGACCGCAGCGAACAAGACCCTGCACTGCTTCAGCAGCTCGTCGACGCCGCTTGCTTATTCCCAGCTTTGCCATATCCGTCCGGCCACATTTGCACTGTGTACCCATTCTGGGGAACCTTTCATGGGTGTACTACCACAACAAAAGGTCATCGTGCAGTGGAATGTTGGACGTAGACATGAACCGCGACCAAGCCAATTCCGCTCAGCAGCCGGTGGAGATACGCAGAGCGCATCTGATGGGTGTGGCCGTCTTGGCCAGCAAGGCATGTGTCCATGTCGGCCGTACTCATACCCGGCACAATGGGATAGTGCTGTGTGGCAAGCCGGCTGCTTGCATCTTGGCATCTGGGCCGGGTTATTGCCGAGATTGCTGAGGCTGCTTTGTCGGTGTTTCGATGCAGTGACTGCGCATCGATTTCTGTGCTCAAGATTCCTCCGCGGATTGGAACATTCCAACAAGAATCAGGGAGTCAACCCGAGTCAACCCCAACGACCCTTGATGGCCAACGAAGCAGGGAGAACAAGCAATGCGTGTTTGAACCATTGAATGACTTGGATGGATCAGAAACAGCATGTTCTTTGACGTTCCAGTATGGCTACCGTGACAGCGTGCACCTGGTCTCAGACGGCATGCGTTGGACGACAGCTTGCCCAGGGAACTGATTTTGCTCAGCCGGGGTGGGGGTGGCCAACTGGTGGAGAGAGGTCGCCTGATCCAATTTTGGCGCAGCGATCTCATGATCGAGGGAAATCATGAGACATGTCGATTCAACCTGCTGGCGCCCTAGTGGCTGGGGTGTCTACATACCACACTAAATATCTCCATTCTCTTCTGCTTGGAATACTCTATAGCTCACACTATGCCAGTATGTCATTACATGTGATATTATGTTTGTTGTCGTCATTATGAGTGTTGTTGTTATTGCTATATACACACTCATTCACTGTTTTGTTTCGTGTCATGTACGTTATGTTCTAAGTGGTATATCATGCTAGATCAGGTTATGTTATCATTGCACGCCCGGCAGCACATGTCACATGTCGCATTTGTCGCCTATCAGAGGTTTTAAATCGAAAAAACACATGTTATAATGTAGACTGTAAATTTATTTTATGTTACTATATAATTTCTACTGTTTTGCCTATATTTTTACTCATGCGTATACTACATGACTACATCAACCATACATTTAATAGTGTATGATCGTATGTGCACATACATACACACGTGCATACATACATACCTAAATACATGCCTTAATACATACGTACATACATGTATAAGAGTATATATACACAGTTGCCTCGAGTCGGATAGTGCCTGAACTAGTAGCTACTTCGTAGCTGGAACACCCGATAAGAGTCCTAATGGTAGCAAGAAGACTTTGTTACAATGCCAAATCACCAAGACAAGAGCTTTGGCGCATGTAGGCTTGGGATGTGGCAATCCCCTCACAACCGCCAACCTGCAGCCGGGCGAGGCACGAGGGCACAAAGCAACACTTCGAGACATCTTCGCTGGTCTTAACATGAACATACATGAACAACATGACAGTCTGTTCAGGCGCACGCGTTGTTTCACATCCATTTCTTTCGGCCTACATTGGACCGCAGACTCAGCAAGTTGCAGTGCGTGGTTTCATTAGGACAGCTTTTGGAAGTGTTGGGCTGGCAGCACGACTTGTTGATGAGCTCTGTGAGCCAGGTGGTGTTGGACCTGGGCAGCGGGGCAGGTATGGACTGCTTCATTGCAGCTAAGCAGGCCGCCATGAGTCGTGAAGTTCGGCGCTGTGTTACCCATCTTCATCTCTCAGGCTTTCGCGCTAATCACGTGTTGCTGTAGACCACGGAACCCTAGGCTAGCTGCAGGTGCGGAGTGCTGTCAATCTGTTGACAGGTCGGGCCGAAAGGACATGTCCTTGGCGTTGACATGTCGGGAACTTAACGAGGCTTCAGATCCCTGATGGGTTGCACGCTGGCCTTTGTGAGGACTCCGGAGATGCTCGTGAAGGCCAGAGCCACTGCTGCAAACGACAAGGTTAGCAACGTGCCTGGCTCCAAGAGTTCTTTTCACAGGTTTCTCCGACCTCCGTACTTTACATGCGTGGGATTCGCAGCTGCTGCTTTGCCTGGAGTGCATGATGTTCGGGGCCGCGTGTTGCCTAATTCTCACGAAGCAGTGAGGGAGGAATCTGGTAGAGACTCATTGATGCGAGGCTGCTTGCCTTCCTATCCGGCTGAACTTGGCTGCAAGACCCCTGCACATTCGGCAAGTCGTTGCAAATGCGGAGATCCGTCTGCACAACGAGAGCAACTTCAGAGCGTTCCAGGAATCAGTCTTGCAAGCCTTGAGAAATTCCGCCCCAACTACTAGTATGTGCAGCCCAGAGGCGCAAGCCCAGTGCGCAACCAACTCCAGTGCGACGTCTTTCGGAGCTTACATAAACTACACAACGCCAGCAAAGTACCGGCAGACCGGACATGGATCGACCAATGTCGGCTTAAGCCATGGACCCATCAACT